GGTTTAGACACAGGAGAAAAAAGTGCCGTCCGAACAACATGGGGGGATTGGCCAAACTAGGCCAGGGGAGCTTCTTCTTCTTCTTCTCCTTCTTTTTCGGCTTCCACTCACCCCCCTATCCTACTTATATCCCTGGAATAGCTTCGTATATCGCCCATAACCCCGGGCTGCTCGCCGCAAAATTCCGCGACGATCCAATTTACATCCTGGGGGAGGGGGATACAATATCCAGTCTCTAGAAAACTCTAGAAAATGCGAATTCGAACAGCGTTTCGTAACGTTCTGCGCTTATTTATTCGGGGCTTCGGCTTTATTGCATCCGATTACGGCATAGAATTCTGAGAGGGTAAATTAAATGGGCTGCAAAGGTATTGATTTGATATAAACTATCACGCACCGCGACACGCAACGCACACCCCTTGACCTCTTGGAACGTTCGTAATCGATTACGCTACGTTATTGACAGCGGACGCGTTGCGCATCACGGATTTTTGTTGGGCCGTAGCCTTTCGTAGCCGTTTATTAGAAAATGCGCTTTGAAACAGGCAATTATGGCATCAGATTTGGGCAATTAACATTACGCAGAAATTTCGGTACGCAGAAATTCATTAGACAGAAAACCGTTATACCGGAAACCCATTACGCAGAAGACCATTACACAGAAAATCCATTAAGCCGAAATCCATTAGACCGAAATTTCATTATACCGAAATCTCATTACACAGAAAATCACTACGCAGAAAAACTATTACGCAGAAATTCATATATATAAAAAATATTTCGCAGAAATTTGATACCCCAACCGTTCCACTCCCATAAGATTCTATATACAAAAAAAGTTGTATCCGCGGTCGTTGAGGTTGTTTCCATCATTGACTCGCGGACACCGTTGTTTCCATCGTTGAGATTCCCGATGCTCACCCTCCTCTCTGGACTTATTGAAACAAATTTTGAAGATTTTCTCCGAACCCTGTTTGCTGACTTTCCCGGATTTTATCCACCAAATTTTTTGCCGTATGATGCGTTGCCATCAACTCGGAAATTTCCAGCAAAGAGAATTTTTCCTTGTACGGAAATTTAGGTGGGATGGTCTTCTGCGTAATGAATTTTCTAGGTAATGTATTTCTGCTTACTGGTTTTTCTGTATAATGGTTTTCTGCGTAACGGATTTCTGCGTATTAAGATTTCTGTGTATTGAAATTTCGATATAATGGGTTTCTACGTAATGGTTTTCTGCATAAAGTATTTTCGGCATAATGGATTTCTGCGTAATGGCTTTCTGCATAATCAATTTTCGGTATAACGTTAGTAAATCATCAGATTTCATGATAGCGCGCTTACCGACGCGTAATCGATTACGATACTTCCACCGCTCCTAAGCGGCTTACGCGTTGCGTGTTGCGTCGAGGATACGTTAAAATTCGTAGTTGGTAGTCATAAGCAACTTTTAGTCGAACCGAAAATCGACTCGCTTTCCTTGTCTTCCCAGTCCCTTTAAAACCCGTGAGATTAATGATTTTTCTGCAAAAACCCTATCAATTTCATCATGTCACAAGCCATGGGAAGAGGGTTGTTTTCAGAGACTGGCATTTGAAAATTACCCCCCCCCCACCCTCGCTACGAACCGCGTCTAATTCCACTCAAATGCGAATCGTATAAAGGGACTGCAGGCAGCCAATTACTGCTTTTCAATGTCTGTCTGTCTCTCTCACTTCCTCTCTCTCTCTCACTCTCACTCTCTCTCTCCCTATCTCGCTTTGGATAGCCAGATTTGTTGATTCACTATACTCGTATCGGGGCCCAGATCCCCCACCCGCCTTCACACAATTAGCCTTTTAGGGAATGTTTTTCGAGTTTTTCGCTAGACGTCTGCCTCTCTCCCTTTCGCTCTCTCGCTCTCTCTCTCTCTCTCTCTCTCTCTCTCTCTCTAGCCTCTCTCTCTCTCGCCCTTGCTAGGGGTCAAGCCGCTATACTAGCTAATGCTATTCCCATTTTTCACACCCTCCCCCAACTTGCCAACAAACTCGTACTGAAGCGCAACGCGTAGCTTCCGCCCCCATTTTAACCCCCTTTTCGGGTTTTTTTCATTTCTTTTCTTGAGGCCTAGCATCCCTTCAAAAAACGCCTTACGAACACTACCGTAACCCTAAGACATGCCATCAGGAAGCCCTAGAATATTTCCATAATCCGGCCCAATACCCTGATTTGTGGCTGATGCTCGCCCCAGAATGGGGGAGGGCACTCTTTAGCGAATGGGATTAGGCAGTCAGCTGCCGTGGGCGAAAATAGGATTGGATTGACTAGGCGGAAGACGTGATTAATGGGTTTAAAGGAGGAGGGACAGGGGTGGGATACGGTGGGTGAAGGGCTGAAGATTTTAACATTTACTTCAAAGTTTTGCACTTCAGAAAGCGGGGAATAGCTAAGCTTAAGCCTAAGCCGTGCAAGCGAAACCAAACCTAAGCCAAGCCTAGGCCTAAGCCCAGCCTAAGCCAGGCCGCATCAAAGGCTAAGCCAGGCCGAAGCAAAGCCTAAGCCAAGCGCAATCCAAGCCGAAGCCAAGCCGAAGCCAACCCCAACCCAAGCGCAAGCCAAACCTAAGCCTAACATAAGCCAAACCTAAGCCCAGCCTAAGCCAAGCCTAAGCCAAGCCTAAGCCAAGCCTAAGCCCAGCCTAAGCCAAGGTAAGCTAAGCTAACAAGCCGAGCCAAGCCCAAGCTTAAGCCCAAGCTCAAGTCTGACTCTGCGGATCTACAACCATATTTTTGCCCTTTCTATTTACACCCCTCTCCCTAGGGCTCGAATCAACTCTCCCACTCCACCGGAAGCAACAACCCCAGATTCGATCCCTCATTCCATTCCATTCCATTCCAATTCCTTGGTCTATCCCCCCAATTAGCCCTCTGCTTTTCTATTCCCGGAAAATTGGTTCTCGGCTCACCCCCGGAAAAAAACGCGTCTGATTTCATTCCGGTCATTTTTGCATTTTTTGCATGGAGTGAATTAAGGGGGTCTTCATGGTGGAAAGAAATTCTAGAATTCAGTCTAATTTTTGGTTAGAGAGAGACAATTTGTGGGAGAGAGAGTGTGAGAGAGAGAGGGAGAGAGAGAGGGAGAGAGAGGGAGAGAGACAGAGAGACAGAGAGAGAGAAAGAGAGAGAGATAGAGAGAGAGAGAGACTGAGAGAGCGAGGTAGAGAGAGGGAGAGAGTGTGAGAGAGAGTGAGGACTTGTCGGGATTTTTCTCTGTCGGGATTTTGGCGGTTTAGTCTAAAAGACTTTCCCAGCTCTTCCTGGCCCCTTTAAAACCCATCATCATCACGTCAAAAAACCCGCGTCTCCCTTCGCCTCCCCCCTAATATCCGGTCATCTTCCGTTTTTCCAGGTAACCCACGTCTTCTCATCCGACGACGAGCACGACCCGCACTTTGAGGTAAGGAAAAAACCCCTCATTTCCGGTCCATGACAACATCTATCTCCACTCATCAACCACCTATTTTTAAACCGCAAAAAAAAGGGATTTACCCCCTGAAAACCCGCCCTCCCCCAAATACCTAATTTGGACGCCTCAAATCTGCTGGGGTGCGGGAAGAACGGCTTCAATAGGATCGCCGCCCTCCCCCCTCCAGAATTGTCAATATTATGAGGGGTGGATAGGGGGGATATATCTAGGGTTGGCATTTGAGGAAACCGGTTTCCGATCTCTTGGATTTGAATCAATGTTTGGATTGACCGGATTGTATTGATATCGATTTATTCATTGCATCCGATCGATCGATTCTGCATAAAAACCGATTTGAATAGGATCCGATTTGATCGGTTCTCGAAAAACCGGTTTTTGATTCGAAACCGATCGATCGGTTTCGGAAAAAAATCGGATTCCAGGCGAGAAACCGAGCGGAAATGAACCGATTTATGCAGAATTTTGGATGCAAATCACGATATTCCTCATTTGTTGTGCTGAAATTGGGGGTCAGCTCGTAACTTCCAGAGCCATCATGTCTGGAAGGAATATATCCATTTTTTGGAGGCTAAGAACGGCTTAGTTTCAAAAAATCGTAGGACCACTGCCTGCCAAGCCCCAAAAAAATGATTTGCATCCAAAATTCTGCATAAATCGGTTCATTTCCGCTCGGTTTCTCGCCTGGAATCCGATTTTTTTCCGAAACCGATCGATCGGTTTCGAATCAAAAACCGGTTTTTCGAGAACCGATCAAATCGGATCCTATTCAAATCGGTTTTTATGCAGAATCGATCGATCGGATGCAATGAATAAATCGATTTCAATCCAATCGGGTCAATCCAAACATTGATTCAAATCCAAGAGATCGGAAACCGGTTTCCTCAAATGCCAACCCTAGATATATCCAGTCACGTGCCACTACAATTCCACAATAGCTTACCGCCAAAACACGATATTTATTGGGTATTTTGAGGGAATATTGCGCAATCAAACTCCTGACAATCTCAAGCCTCAACTGCGATATTTTTTAAACCTCATTACATTCACACAAAAAAACAACATAAAATTGATATTGATAAAGAATGATTTGTTTACTAGAAAAATTGGTACTTGATTGTTAGCGGGGGGGGGGGCTAATTTGATTTTTTGGCCTATACTTCCGTGAATAAAATATACCGAACTTTATAGTTTTTTAGTAGTTTTTATTGCTTAGTTATAAACTAGTTTTAAACATCGCAAAATTTTTACAATTTTTCGACATTTTTCAAACAAAAATCTCTAATTTTCGAAATTTTTGTGATTTTCATGTGCTTTTAATCTCCAAAGACGCTGTTAAATGCTATAAAAATGGTCTATTGTTCGCTGTGGGGCCGTACGGATTACTGGAAAATCCGCTACCCCCCCCGCTAACAGTCCAGTACCATTTGTTTGCCAAAAAAACGTTCTCAAAAACCTTCTAATTTCTACAATAATGCCAAAATTCTATAAAAACGCAATTCTAGCTCCCCGAGAACCAAAACCTCGACCTTGGACAACCAATGAATCACAAAGGACTCATCAAGAAGATGATGGTACGCGAGATGGAGCAGGTCAGTATTTTACTGACTTTAAAAATACTCTATTAAATCATTTTTCTCGTAATTTATACCTTACATTCAAAAAAACAGTCCATGTCCAATCATGTACCCTCTATGCTTCGACCTTAACCCCCAACCACATGCAGGTGGCGCATAAAGCGTCGATGTTCCGCCGCGCAAGCTGCCCAGAAGTAAGTGGGGTTCGATGTCGTGTCGTCATTGCGTACAGTCGAGTCCCTTTCCTAATTTGAGTTCCATTTTTTTGGTTATATTGGGACCGTGACGAATAAAAAAAATCGGTAATATGGTTCTTTCGCATTATCCATGCAAAAATATCGGTTTTCGATCACAAACGTCAAAAATCAACTATAATAATTTTGCTGTGGTGTCTGTCCGTGTGTGTGAAGCCGAATTCAACTCGAAGGGGAAAGGAGCTAGAGCTTAGCTCTCTTCGGATTCGGATAGAGCGTGGTCAGAAACCCCCAAACTGATAAAAAAATTATTAAAAAGTTTTAGTTTAAATTATTAAAATTAACTTTGAACGTTTTTCCTTAGTAAAAGGAGTGGGGGCCCCTTTCCCGGGAGGCCACGCCCCCTTTCTCTTCGCCCATCTTCCCCAGGCCCCTTCCCGCGCCCAAATAGCTTTTTAAGTTACTTTAATACTTTTAATACTTTTTAATACTTTTTAATACTTTTTAATTATGCTAATTAATTATTTAAATCATCTGAAGCCATCGGGAAGGTATTTAGGTAGTTTTTAAAGGGGATTTCAGCCATGGGGGGTATCTGAAGCCATCAGGAAGGTATTTAGGTAGTTTTTGAAGGGGATTTCAGCCATGGGGGGTATCTGAAGCCATCGGGAAGGTATTTAGGTAGTTTTTGAAGGGGATTTCAGCCATGGGGGGTATCTGAAGCCATCAGGAAGGTATTTAGGTAGTTTTTGAAGGGGATTTCAGCCATGGGGGGTATCTGAAGCCATCGGGAAGGTATTTAGGTAGTTTTTGAAGGGGATTTCAGCCATGGGGGGTATCTGAAGCCATCGGGAAGGTATTTAGGTAGTTTTTGAAGGGGATTTCAGCCATGGGGGTATCTGAAGCCATCGGGAAGGTATTTAGGTAGTTTTTGAAGGGGATTTCAGCCATGGGGGGGTATCTGAAGCCATCGGGAAGGTATTTAGGTAGTTTTTGAAGGGGATTTCAGCCATGGGGGGTATCCGAAGCCATCAGGAAGGTATTTAGGTAGTTTTTGAAGGGGATTTCAGCCATGGGGGGTATCTGAAGCCATCGGGAAGGTATTTAGGTAGTTTTTGAAGGGGATTTCAGCCATGGGGGGTATCTGAAGCCATCGGGAAGGTATTTAGGTAGTTTTTGAAGGGGATTTCAGCCATGGGGGTATCTGAAGCCATCAGGAAGGTATTTAGGTAGTTTTTGAAGGGGATTTCAGCCATGGGGGTATCTGAAGCCATCGGGAAGGTATTTAGGTAGTTTTTGAAGGGGATTTCAGCCATGGGGGTATCCGAAGCCATCAGGAAGGTATTTAGGTAGTTTTTGAAGGGGATTTCAGCCATGGGGGTATCTGAAGCCATCAGGAAGGTATTTAGGTAGTTTTTGAAGGGGATTTCAGCCATGGGGGTATCTGAAGCCATCAGGAAGGTATTTAGGTAGTTTTTGAAGGGGATTTCAGCCATGGGGGTATCTGAAGCCATCGGGAAGGTATTTAGGTAGTTTTTGAAGGGGATTTCAGCCATGGGGGGTATCTGAAGCCATCGGGAAGGTATTTAGGTAGTTTTTGAAGGGATTTCAGCCATGGGGGGTATCTGAAGCCATCAGGAAGGTATTTAGGTAGTTTTTGAAGGGATTTCAGCCATGGGGGGTATCTGAAGCCATCGGGAAGGTATTTAGGTAGTTTTTGAAGGGGATTTCAGCCATGGGGGGTATCTGAAGCCATCGGGAAGGTATTTAGGTAGTTTTTGAAGGGGATTTCAGCCATGGGGGTATCTGAAGCCATCGGGAAGGTATTTAGGTAGTTTTTGAAGGGATTTCAGCCATGGGGGTATCTGAAGCCATCGGGAAGGTATTTAGGTAGTTTTTGAAGGGGATTTCAGCCATGGGGGGTATCTGAAGCCATCAGGAAGGTATTTAGGTAGTTTTTGAAGGGGATTTCAGCCATGGGGGGTATCTGAATCCATCAGGAAGGTATTTAGGTAGTTTTTGAAGGGATTTCAGCCATGGGGGTATCTGAAGCCATCGGGAAGGTATTTAGGTAGTTTTTGAAGGGGATTTCAGCCATGGGGGGTATCTGAAGCCATCGGGAAGGGATTTAGGTAGTTTTTGAAGGGATTTCAGCCATGGGGGTATCTGAAGCCATCGGGAAGGTATTTAGGTAGTTTTTGAAGGGGATTTCAGCCATGGGGGGTATCTGAAGCCATCGGGAAGGTATTTAGGTAGTTTTTGAAGGGGATTTCAGCCATGGGGGGTATCTGAAGCCATCAGGATGGTATTTAGGTAGTTTTTGAAGGGGATTTCAGCCATGGGGGGTATCTGAAGCCATCGGGAAGGTATTTAGGTAGTTTTTGAAGGGGATTTCAGCCATGGGGGGTATCCGAAGCCATCAGGAAGGTATTTAGGTAGTTTTTGAAGGGGATTTCAGCCATGGGGGTATCCGAAGCCATCAGGAAGGTATTTAGGTAGTTTTTGAAGGGGATTTCAGCCATGGGGGGTATCCGAAGCCATCAGGAAGGTATTTAGGTAGTTTTTGAAGGGGATTTCAGCCATGGGGGGTATCCCGAAGCCATCAGGAAGGTATTTAGGTAGTTTTTGAAGGGGATTTCAGCCATGGGGGTATCTGAAGCCATCAGGAAGGTATTTAGGTAGTTTTTGAAGGGGATTTCAGCCATGGGGGGGTATCCGAAGCCATCAGGAAGGTATTTAGGTAGTTTTTGAAGGGGATTTCAGCCATGGGGGGTATCCGAAGCCATCAGGAAGGTATTTAGGTAGTTTTTGAAGGGGATTTCAGCCATGGGGGGTATCCGAAGCCATCAGGAAGGTATTTAGGTAGTTTTTGAAGGGGATTTCAGCCATGGGGGGTATCTGAAGCCATCGGGAAGGTATTTACGTAGTTTTTCAAGGTGATTTCGTCTAAGGGAGGTATCTGTAGCCATTAGCGGGGGTATTTTTGGAAAGGTAGGGAGGGATGTGATGGTGTATGGCATGAAGGGAAGCCCGAAGGCCAGATGGTTACAGTCGCGAAGCGACTGGAACCATCTGGTTTTCTAGGTTTTTAGATAGTTTCCGCTAGAAATATTGTGAAATTACTAAAAACACTATCAAAACATTCACTATTACGTTAGGCATTTCTGGAGCTAAAATTAGAACAAAATTAGGCTTCCCCTCCCCCGATAATGCCAAAGGACCTGGTTCCCGCTCGTTTTCCCGACAAAAAGAAGTTATCCGTACTTTCGAAAATTGCCACGCTACCATCTCATTAAAATAGCATGAAAACTTTTGGTTTCTATACTTTTAACTTGATGTTCTCCTCTCGAAACGCTAACCAAATTTCAGCCCCAACTCCTCGACACACAGAACTGGTCAGTTGTGCAGCACAAAAAACCCCTGCGATTTCGTTGTGTCGAGTGCTGTGGCTATTTCTAGCAGAACAAAAAAAAAACAACAATTAAAACATTGGAAATACAACTTATATCGTCACGTACTCTCATAGATACTTTCGCAGCGCCACTTGCATGTGTTCTATCGTCGGAAACCACCCAAAAACCCAAAAAAAAAACCTAAAAACCCAACCCCGCTGCTGCCGTGCCCACTGTCCGCATCGAAAACTAAAAATTGTCAAAACCCGCTCATCAAACCGTTTGCCCAATTTCAGAAAGCGAAAGAGCAGATAGCGGGCAGCCGAAGGGGCAGCGGGGGAACCTGTCCTTGAAACTTCCATTCAGGAGGTCCATCACCTCCTCACATAAACAGCAGAAGCCACCCGGCGCCACCAACCCACCCATCCCGGCCAATAAACAGCGGAAATCGGTGACGGTATGCTTTAAACGGTGCTGTTCTCTTTAAGGGGGGGGGCCGGATTCTGCCTGGGTCTAGAAATGGCTACTATTGTAAGACCAAGTCTAAGTAATAGTGTTTTTGAGAAAATTTAGGTAAACTACAAGTCCAAAAAGCTTTAGAAATTTTGCAAAATCGGTTTTTTTTGAAAAATTTTCAGCGAAAACGTCCATTTTGGGCCCAAAAATCAAAATCTCTTACCATTCGACGGAAATTTGTAACGCATTTACGTTTAGGAATCGTAAAAATCGTCTAGAAATGCCGCCCTATCAGAATCTCTAAATTTCAGAATCTCTAAATTTCAGAATCTCCAAATTTCAGAATCTCTAAATTTCAGAATTTACGTTTAGGAATCGTGAAAATCGTCTAGAAATACGTAGTTTATCGATAACAGAACATTTCGTTCCAAAGAAAATCCCCCGGATACTATCATAAACCGTTACTAAACCAAAAACGAAAACTAATTAGACCGTTTCAGGGCACCCCTTCTGCCAAAACGTGACGACTCCCGCCACCTGTAAATAGCCCCCATTGCATATAGCCGACAATGCCATTTTCAACCTCTCATAACCCCCAAAAGCCATAAATTGCCGTCCGTTCTCGTCCCCCCTATTTTTGTTGCCTTCAAAACCCGATTCTCAAATGTTCTCGACGTGCCCCATGAATTCCCAGCCCGTTCGATGGTTCCGCATCACCGGTTTTCACGTTGCAATGTGTGTAAATAAATAGTTGGGCCATTGCGGATACGGAAAATACGCGAATGGTAATAAAAAAGCAAAAAAATACGATTAAACTGCAGACAACCCCTCCCCAGCCGATCTCGTCTACTGCGCCTGCGCCTCCTGCAGGGTTATACACTATACCAAAATCATCGCCAGGGAAAGACGAACATTTTGGCTTACTTTACACACCTGTAGGCCAACAGCGAGCCGAGATACAAAAGTTGAGTCTCGGCTGGGGTGATCTCCAGACACTCAAAATACAAAATTATCTGTATTTTAACGCTCAGAATACATTACTTTACAAACAGATAATTTGCATCAATTTGGTTGTAAAGTTCGGTACAAAACCAACGAAAACATGGCGAAACTATCCATTGCTAATGCCTGGACCCGGCGACACATCACCCAAGAACGTCAAGAAAAAGTCGGATGGGGAGGTGGATGTCTTCCGCGCGCTTCTCAACGTCGGACGTGACCTGAACGGGCAGAAGGACCGTGAGCTCGAGTGTGGCCTGAGCGGCCGGAAGAAAAGTGGCTATTCAATTTGCGTTTCTTTTACTTTGATATTTCTAGAAAAAGATGCGCCGGGACAGCAGAAAAAGGCCGGACCGCGGCTGGTGCGTGGGAGCGTTGTTTGCTAAAAAACAACGAAACTCTAAACGGATCGCGATCGAAACTGATAGCTTTTTGGCTTTAATACTTTTCAAACTGCTTGTTTCCTTTTTCATAATATTTTTATAGCAGCTAACTAAAAATTTCAGTACGAAAAGCCACCGCAAGTCGCGCAGCGGAGGCATCGCGCAGATGGTTTGCTTTTTTGCTTGCCCTTTTCGAATCAATTACTTTAGAAATCGAACATCCGTCCGACGAGCAGAAGGAGCGCTTCAACCACTTTATCGCCGAGATTCTGGTCGTCGGCATTGACGGGCTGCTGAAGGTTTAATCTCAATATTTGGCTTTTATTTTGTTTAGGACTACGAGACGGAGCTGAAGGGTTATTATACACCGAACATTCGCCGCACCGCATTCGACCGAAACCCGAACAAGAATCGCTACAAAGGTACTCTTCTGGCCCGCAATAAAATCACCTTTTTTTAGATGTCGTTTGCCTTGACCACAGCCGCGTTGTGTTGCAGGGGAAAGAAGGCGATTACATCCACGCTAACCATGTCCGGTATGGATTTTTGGCTCCTTGATCCTTGTTTTAGAGGAGAGCCCCTGATCAACAACTTCATCTGCACCCAAGGACCGCTGGCCAGCACGTGCGTCGATTTTTGGCGGATGGTCGTGCAGGAGCACGTCGGAAACATTTTTATGCTTTGCCAGGTTTCTTCCGTATTTTCTTACTTATTTTTCTTGAATAGGTGGAAGAACTGGGCAAGAAAAAGTCTGAGCAGTACTGGCCGAACGTCGCGGGAGCACAGAAGGTATATGGAGGTAATCTTAAACTTCAACGCTTTTCCAATTATTTTTAGCCTACACCATTCACTGCACAGCCGTCGACTCGAGTGACAAGCGCATCGTGCACACATCGCTTCGGGTTGAGGAGAACGGGAAAGAAGTCTGCTCCCTCAAGCACTACCAATGGATTGATTGGTAATCTTTCGTTTTGAGGACGATATGCTTTTGTTCAGGCCTGATCGCTCGGTTCCACACTCACTGTTGGCGGTGTTCCGATTGCTTCGTTTCTCGCGCAACTCCCGTTTCACCACCGTCGTGCACTGCTCGGCTGGCATCGGTAGGAGCTGTTTATTCGGCACTACTATTTGCTTGTTTTAGGCCGTACCGGAGCTTTCGTCGCCATCGAGATGATCCTCCAGCGGTCGGTGAGCTCGGACAGTGTGAAGATGGTGAACGTCGTCAAGCAGTTGCGAGGTTTTCGTTAGATAAGCCTTCAGTCATCGTGATTTTTAGGGATGCGTGCCTCGGCCGTCCAAACCGACATGCAGTACGTGTACCTGGCCATGTCGATCGTCAACTATTGCAAGGAAGTCGGCATCATGAAATCATCATTTTTCGAGGTAATATTTGGATTAAGAATCGATAATGCTTTTAAATTCAGGCGTTCAATCGGTTCAAGGAGTCCTACGAGTCGCTGGCGCAGAAACGGCTCGCCGAGGAGGAGGCAAAGATGCGCGGGATGGCCAACGATATGGGTACGTGGATTTTTTTTGAGGAGAAACGATTGATTTCGCCACGAGGCGTCTCCTATTTTGGTAGATCAAAAAATAATAGACATGGGACGATCCTTTAGCAGTTCTCCGTCTAATAAATTCACATTCATTCCGTCAATTGCGGAATCACATTGCGGGTGATTGAAAATCAATAGAAGCCCTGGGCTGATTTGAGCGGAGAAACTACCTGTTTTTCAGCTTGTGTGCCGCCCCCGCCGCAAGCCGCTGCTCTCGCGGCCCCCGTCTCACCTGCCGGCCCGATCGTTTCCGTCGCCCTGGATGGTCCGCCGCCCATGCCGGAGTCCGCTGGAACCGGGTTAGTCGCTTTTACACCACCAAAAACCTCTGTTTTGGGTTCGACTGCGGCCTGGCCCCTACGGGCAATATCGTTGGCGCGGCAATGGCCCCAGGGACTGGCGAGAAGTGAAGCCGTGAAGCCCCGCCGTCCTCGGCACTCGATTAAAACCCATCATACAAACTCCTATTTATTCGTTTTCTTCCATCATTAGAATTTCTTTGTCGCTGAACATCTTGCCGTGCTCTCTTCCTATGACGAAATGAAATAAAAGATTGATTACCAACATCCTTCGCAACTTATGACGACTTGACGTTTCGACATAGTTATTACCTCAAGGAAAGATTATTGATATGGGGCGTATCGTGGCTTCTAGAAATTATGGAACGGCACATCGAAGAAATTACCAAGGAATTGGAGCGGTGGGATACGCAGTTAGAGGTGAGATTCTCCCGAGATCAATGGCTCTTTTAGAAATACGAGGCCCGAAAGGAAGAGAACATCGAAAAGCTGTATGAAGAACCACTGCCGGCTGATTGCGCCGACGGTATACCCCAAGGTCGTACTACTCGCATCTTGACAAACCAATGTACGTCTAGTTGATGGCGTTTAAGCTTATATGCTTCCAGGCTTGGCGTTGTATCACGGCAGCAAGGAACTTGTACGCGTCAAGCAGGAAAACGAACAGCTCGAGGTTGTTTTTTTGTACTCTTTCCACCCTTTTTACAGACTCGTGCCGAAGAGCTACACAAAGAGGTGCAGGAAGTCGACGAGATTACACAAGAGTAAGAATAACAGGCATATCTCTAGTTTTTGCAGACTTATCGCCTGTTACAACAAGTATCAAGTGAAGCTCGATGACGAAATGGCCTTCTGGGAAAAGTGTCTGCATCAAGCCAAAAAGGACACAGAGAAAGGAGCCGACCTAAGCAAGGAGTTGGATGATCTCATGGCATCTTGAACCTCCGGTTGCTGCTACCCCGCCATTTTATTTTTTAGGATGTTTGAATTGAATTATTTGCTTTGTATCGATTTTCTAACTTTCTTAGGCACAGCGTTCAGAGCCATACGAAAAAGGTTCGTCGAGCGGGGACAGGATGGAGAGGGGGTCTCGGCACTCTCGCCCTCCCTCTGGCTGTCTGCCCCCACCCCCGCGCGTTTGAATCATAAATGGTGTGTACGAAAGATTAGCCCGGCTGTCTGCTATCGCGCGCCCCACCCCTCCCCTGCCTGTCTGCCCTCGCGTCTGCGCTCTAGAGCGCTCTGCATCCTGTACCCAGGGGGGGCCCTTTTCTGAACCATGTGTAGGAGAATAAAGTCCTTCAAGAAGACGTTTTAACAATTTACCAACGAGAAAGTGGCGGTGAGCCGAAAACAACAATGTAAGTGGCACAGCTAATGAACGAAGCAACAATGTGAACATAGGAAGAATTTCAAACAATAAGGGTTAGTAACAATCGGCTTATTCGTGTTTTGGAGTTTCATCGCCGGTGTTTTCAGCGCTGTCAATCGGGGCGAAGGCAGCGACCATATCATTGAAGGTGCTGTCCTATAAATACGATTACCATAACGAAGTCAAGGGCAACCTCTAGATGGTGACTATCCGGCTTCAGGCTGACTGCCTTGTTGCTCCATTCCTCCGAACTGGTGATGGCACTCTCCAACGAGCCGCAGTGCGAAAGCATGGCCGGCAAGAACGTCTCGGAGGAGTTCGTCTTCGTCGAGGTTGATGCAAGGCGACGAGGCTGCATCAAAAATACGAGCCACAAACCAATGGATACCTGAGCCGTGTATTGACCATTCGGCCAAAGTCTGGACTCAGCCGAAGCCCGGGGCGGCGTGCAGTAAAGCGTCTCACCGCCATTCATCGATTGACTCTGAAAGAATCAATATAAAAACATGCCGGGCACAATACCATGTATAGCTGCTGAAGTTGCATGGCCTGTAGTTGGGCTTGCAAAAGCTGCGGATTGATGCTGTGTGTCTCCGGTGTGTAAGGCTGCTGGTAAAGTTCGCCAAGCAGGAACTTTTGCTTGACCGATGCTGGTGGTGCAGAAGCGGGCGGACCTGACGACACCGGCTGAAATCAGAATTGACGCTGCAACCTGATAAAATATACCATCTTGTAAATATCTCCCGCAAGCATACGTTTGCTGTGCGGTTCACCAGCGGCAGCGGGCGATTCCAATATGTTCTGGAAGCGTGATCGGGACGCCGGCACGTTTTGCAACTAAACAAAACATGAATTGCAAGGTCGAAGCCCACCACAAAGTTCTTATGTTCATGTTCAGCAAAATGACTGTTTTCGCGGTGGGCTTCTGGAACGGCAATATGTGGCTGCGGCACAGGGAAGAGGCGCTGCGGGCTAGCGCCCCGATGCACACCTGCTCCAAACAGGTCGTGAAACGTCTAAAAATGAGTTGTCGATGGAACTGTTGACTACCCTCTGCTGGCTGTGACAGCTCGACGTCTCCGAGTAATTATCCGGCGCGTAGCCATACGGTCTCGTTACATCGCACTGGGCGAGCAGGCGGCTCTTCATCGGAGAACATGGAGCACTGATTGGTGGCCCGTGCTGCTGAACCAAGAATTCAACCATAAGTGAAATCCTTACAGCGGGATTGTTGTTCAAGGAATCCTGCTCGCCAGGTGAATGGCCATCGACAACCTACTAGCATGCAATAAAAAAGGCAATACCAAAACCTGAACAAGATCGCGGAAACCGGGCAGCATACGATATGAATGCATCTCTTTTGCAAACGTCTCTGGACCAGCCAGTAGTAGCTCACGCAACTGAGAAAGAATTAAAAAGGTCGAAGTCATCTTATACCTTAATGGTCGGGTTCTTCGGCACGGGAATCGAGGGGCCGGAGCCGTCGCTAGCCACTGAGGCTTCTTCACGAATCACATTCTTCAACCAGTTCAGATGGTCGTTCAACTACAAGCAGATTATATTCTTTAGTTCCTATAAGTACCTCTGAAGTATCCCGCGTACGCGTCAGCCCAATGCCATAGGTATCCTGGCCCACGTCGATTGTGATGAACTTTCGGCTAGCAACGCCGACCTCCAAGGTGGTGGGAATCGGCACCCAAGGCAGAACAACGTTCTCAAAAGTAAAACGATGATTAGGTAAATCGACCAACCCCGTGCACATCATAGGCAAGCAGTTTATACGTTTCATCCGTGCGGTCTCTGACGACATAGACAGCAACAGCCGACTGCGCGAGCTCCGTCCACAGCTTGCCTCTGAACATCCCTCAATAAAATAAAAAAATTTGAACCTAGTAGGGCGCTCATCAAGCCGATAGACATGACCATAAGCCGAAAGAATTCGCTCGTAACTAAAAAAGTTATTTAGCTAGTCGCAAAAGTTTTACTTTTCCGTGGTAGCAGGTGTGGGCCAAGGAAAGGAGAGCGGTACCTTGGCCGCGCCATGCTCGAAAACACTTGGCTGTGGCGAGCCCATCACGACCCAGCTTCTAAAGACCGATGCTGGATTTCCAAATGGACCCAGCGTTTTAAGATAACCATTGCAAGAGCAGCCACAATTGATGCCAATTTTGAACAACTTACGTTGAACGAACTATTTATTAAAACATCCTGATACAACGAAAACAGTACGCTAAAACTAAAAGCAGAATGGAACTATGGGAGAGCTAAAAGCAAATGAGTCAAACAACAAGGGCGATTTTATTACTGCGAAACAACTATCTAGATTCAATCATTGCTTTCGAGAGATTTGGCTCGCAGGATAGCTGGCGCCGAGGTCGAAGGGACGGGCCCTATCTCAGTGATGATCATCGGGGCGAGTTGGCAGGGTACAATTTCGATGTCTTCGCGGCCCATGAGCGAAACGTTGCCGTGGCTGAGTACCTGAAAAAAAAAACGCAAATTTCATCAATTTCTATCAAGCCAACCTTGTCGAAAAATTTGAAGGTTTGGGTTACGACGACCACTGGAACACAGGCGGCTTCACACGCCAAAGCAATCTGAAATGAACTATATTAATGCGAGCGAATCGAATTTACAAGCATTGTCCCTTTCGGCACCGCCACGCTTCCATTCGAGAGAACAGCAGAGCAGCCAACTAGCGCCATCGAACACTAAACCAGATAAAAAAAATTTCCTTCAGAAAATACCCCTTCCAAAGCAGCTGACAACGAACGCAAATCTCCGTAGCTTAACCGGATGCGTTTTTCCAACAAGGTGTCGAAGTGTCGGACTCCTAGAAACATTACTTTCATAGATAACAGTGGTACCTCGCCCATCCGTTTCTTGATCGATAACAACTATTTCCTGCAACTGGCGATTTGCACCACCACATGCGGCGACAAGAACGTCATTGACGAGGTGACACCTAAAACATTTTCCGAAATCTGAGCAAAGTATACCAATCGAAAACGAGCACTTTCTTCGTTATTTCCAGTTTTTCGGTTGTGTAGAAGATAATTTTGTCCACAGCCTTCTTGAAAAAGTTGCATTCGGTATCATCCAACCAGTCAAGCACACATTCTAGAAGCTAAAACAAACCGATTTAGGCTTCCTGGAAAATTACATTACGTCATTGTAGGTTATCCGTTCTTCGGAATTTGATCTCGACGTAGACTCTTGTTCCTCGATCTTCTTCAAATATTTCTTGAACAACCGCACGATGTTTCCAAGCGCGAAGGGGAGTGGCCAGCGTCCTTTAAAGGAATTTGATCAGGCAGAAAATGTACAAACCATTTTTCGTCAAGTAATCCAGCTGCGTTCTCAGAGATATTTCAAGCTCATGGGCCAGCGTCGGCGATGTCTCCGATGCGTTCCGCTCCATGCCCCAGCAACGAACATACTAAAGCTGAACGAAAGTTCGCAAGGGAACTAACTTCACGTAGCGCCCCAAGGAAAGATTTGCACAGATCGTCAATATCATAGATTTCGCCGCGCTCGCATCTGAAATACCATCAATGACAAAGGAAAAATACTTGGTGAAGAGTGTGATGAACCCCGGGTGGATGTTCAGGAGTACGAGATCGTCACTGTATTCGGTATGGGCGAGTGCGGCTACAAGCGATTCGTCCGACTCAGCTGGAGCAACCTTTGTGTTAAGGTCTGACACTGGCTCAATTGTTTCTAACGAGAACACTTACCGAAATGGACCTTTCTGTTGTCCGCAAAATTCTTGTCCTCTTTTGGCGAAGACCGATCGCATTGCGGGGGTCGACTAGCTTCCTTGACGCGGCTGGGTGCGGACGTCACTACAAATAATTGAAAAAAAGTGAGAACTACAAACCTTTCAAGGGCGTTTTTTCATGGACTTTGGCGACTTGCTTCTTTGGCGCTTCGATTTGGGTGGTTGTCGCCTGGGCCGGCTTCCCAGTCTTTTTGTTGGCTAAAAGGTATGTGGCGATAGAGCGCAAGTTACCTTTTTCCGCTTTCTTTGCTTTGCGCTCGGCCAAAATCTCCTCACGAGTCTTCCCCAATTCAGCTTCTTTAGGAGGCGGTGCTTTGGACATGGGTTTGCTGTTCTAAATCCGGATTTTGTTTAAAAACGACACAGCGCGAAGACGCGGCGAACCCACAAAGCATGACGAAATTCCCCCACCCGGGCGAATTAACACTGCTCGTTTCTAGCAGAAACACCAGAAAAAAAGCTCAAAAAAAGCGTCCTATTGCACGATGGTTTTGCAAATAGCAATCAGCCAGCAGTTAACAAATTGTGCGACAAAACGGTTTACGATGTAAAGCAATTTATTTCGACAGAAAATTAGCAAAGTGAAAAATTCACAAATTCACATGATAATTCATGCATAATTCACAGATTAGGGCAATCACATCTCATCATCGGACAGCTTGATGGCGACGGCGCGCGGCAACTCTTTCGGCGACTTTACGATAACGGAAGACCGTCGGCGCATACGGAACCTAAAAAATGTCCATTAGAAGCGGACAAAATTCTCACTTCTTGCACATTCTGATGACCACCCAGATGGATAGGAGAGTTACGATTGCAGAAGCCATGCCCAGTAAGATCGGGAGCACCACGGAGCGCGTATAGGGTCGATCCATCCACATGCGGATTTCGCCTTGGAAAATGTCGAATTCTTTCTTCAGTTCTTCCAAATCTTCTTCGAAACGAGAATGCTAGATCAAAAATAGACGTGGCGAAAGAGTCAAAATACCGAGGGGGACACGGTCGTTGTCGTGAGGTTGTCAGTCGCCGGGACGACGTCAGGGAAGGCGCGCTCGTCGATGATCGGAATTTCCTTCTCGGTGGGAACCTTGTTGTCCGTCGCCTTGGCCAACGTGGGGAAGCTTCTAGGCATATTCTGGAAGAACGTCGCCTCGGCGAGTAGGAATGGGACGGCCAGGAGTAGTAGGGTGCGCATCGCTGAAAATAACTTTTAATTAAATTTATAAACTAATGAAATAAAATATGACGAGAAACGAAGGATGAGAAAACATGAAAAACCAACGAGAAATTTTTTCGCTCGAAACGCCGAAAAAGGGAAATGACCCCGAGAAATGGATTGGCGCGGCGAACCCTGGTTACGGTATATCGTAGCATGGCGGACGGCATTTGGATTGCTTCGGAAATACTCAAATAGAATTCACAAATTTTACGATTATTCCGAAAAATTTTTCGTGATTTTTTACAATTATTTTTTTTGTCATCATCGTTGAGTTTTATCATTTTGCCAAGATTTTCACGGCAACCCAAAAACTAAAAGCTTTATTCAACGAATGCTGATCAGACGAGGATATAGACGAAATTCAGGACACGAGTTTAAGCGGGTAGTAGGGGCATAGCATCAGAGCATGGTCGGGTAACAAGAGAAATGTGCATCGGGTACTTCTTCACACATGGACGACATGGTTCAACTGGCCGGTGCGAGTGAGCAGCACTTGTTGGCGCTTCTCATCGATGGCCCATTGGCGGTCAACCAGAAACTGAAAGGTAGCGGTTCTCATATAAGGTTTAAAGCGGTTTACGCGGTATTCGAAGTGGCCCTTGGGCAGTTGAATCTCCACAACCCATCCGTAGCGATCGCGGCGCAGCGGGATCTTCAATTCCCAGTTGACGAACGAGCCAGAGATGAAAACCTAGGTATCATTATTGCATGCGCACGATTCGCACTCACAGATTTCGGGCTCAGATCGTGCCAACGGAAAGTGACCGGGTAGAGCGGCTGGTTGTGGCAGTGCACGTAGCCGGCCACCAACGTTGATGACGGCCACATTTGCATCATAGCCATTGCCCTGGCGGTCACGTCGGTTTTCTTCTTCACCTTCGTGTTGGTCTTCTTCTCTTTGGGCGGGTCCTTGGCCGCGGTAGACACCGGGCTCGAGACGACCTCGTCATTGTCTTTTCCACAGCGGACTCGCTGGCTAACGCTTTCAATGCTGAATTGACGGTTCGATAAGGAGATTTTAGATACCGAGAGCCAAAGGGGGTCTCTGCGATGCCTGGCTTAAGTGCAGTTTACCCCCCAGCCCTAACTTTTCAGCCATACGTCCTATTAATGCGCCGAGTATCTCAAAATGTTCGCCGTGGTCGAATTACTATAAAAAAGTTGTTTTCTTACATCAAAATTCGTTAAAAAAATTTTTATAACAATTATAAATCTGGGTTTTCTTTAGTTAATTTTTGCTGTTCCAAAGTGAGTTTTCGTATCTCGGCTATCTTTTGATGTACAGAGCTGTCAATAGTACCAAATTGTAGCTCTTGCTCTGTAGAATAAGCCTACAGTACGTTTGAGTCGAAAAAAATAGCGGAAAATAAAAATATTTGAGTTTTAGACTCCTAGTACATCGAAGCATAGCGGCTTAATCTTTTCAACTTTCAAAATCTTGTAAAAAAATTTTTAGCAATTTTTGCCGCAAGAAAACAACTTTTTTATAGTAATTCGACCACGGCGAACATTTTGAAATACTCGGCGCATTAATAGGACGTATGGCTGAAAAGTTGCGGCTGGGGGGTAAACTGCACTCTAACCCGATGCCTTCATCAAGGCCATCACATCCGCCAGAAGTCCGATCGGTCGGCACGTTGATGTCGGTGAAGCTCGTAGCCAGCGGCTGGGTAGAATGGGTAGTGGATGAGTCCTGAAAGCATTCTAAAGCTGTTCAGGCACCCCTACCACGCTCGAGCTCGAGAGACTGGAAGCCGCACCGACAGAGCCAGACGAATTGGATGGCATTGTGGTTTGGCCGGAAGAGGGAGTGGTAGTGGTTGAGGAGGAGGGGGTCGGAGAAGCGTCCGTTGCGCGCTTCTCCATTGACTCGAAGGATCCCGAGCGGGCCGTGCTCTCTGCGGGTGAAGCTCGCTTATGCTTCTTCGGGCTGCGTTCAACAGGGCGCGGCGACATCTTCCTGGTAGGATCGGGCACCTCGACGTGACGTTCGCTGTCATGACGGCCCAACTGCCTGCTGGCGTCCTAAAATCGGGTAATGGCAATTTTGGTGTTTTTACATCAGCCGAGTTCAGGATGCGCATGTTGAGGAGGCTTTCCCGTTTGACAGCCTTCACCAGTGAGATGTCTTGAGGGGAGCTGTTGCCAGAAACGAGTTGGGTTTGAGTTGGCTTCTTCTATAATAGAAGGGTTGTATGTGTTCGAAGAAAAACAGTTCTTTTTAGAGCTAACCTCTTCAACCAGTGTCTCAGAAATGGAGACATGATGTGGTGGATGCTGCTCAATCTTTTGCTCAACCGGCTTCGGAGGGGACAGCACTTTCGGGGTCACCTGTCCCTGATTCGACTGAAATCGAGACTGAAATTTGGACAGAAATGGTAGAAGAAACACCTTTGTATAGAAGAGGCACACTTCCACCGGCTCATTCATGCGCTTCACGACATTCGGTTTCCGATTCGCCTGCAGGCTGTCTGCTTCAACGGTGGGTAGCAGGTCTCCCTAAAAACACGGTTAGCTAAAACAACATTTTAGTACCGGGCAGAGCACGAGCGGGACCTTGCGGCGCCCGGTGAACTTCTCCAAGACGAAGCGATGCGCGTGAAGGAGAGCGTGGAAGATGATGTAGCAGAGGACGAGCGCCA